TGTTGAGTGACGCGGGAGTCCCGGGTTGCGGGGCCGACCTAATGCGGCAAGGGCGCCCTTCTTACGTAAGACGTAAGATTCTACACATAAGAAAAGCTAGACAAAGAGTTACCTTTAACTACAGTATAAGTAAACTTCAGTTTTTAGGTAGGTGCAGGCGAACATTAATTAAACATCCTTATAACGTCAGACGGGATCCTTTATGTAAGACTCGAACTTCAAGAGTTGCAAGTAAAACAACGAGAGGAGGGCGCATGTCGAGGTGTTATAGTGAAAACAAGTGTATACAATCTCAACACCATACCTACCACCAACCCAGACGCCAACAGGCCAATAACAAACTGTGAATTGCCCGAGCGCGGATTCCCTAAGGTTATGGACGTGTTGAGGAAACAAGTCTTTTGTATTGTTTTAGTGGTTAGAATATTAGAATATCATGTTATATCACATAAATTAATGTACATCTGGTTTGAAGTTGCTGGACCGTCGTAACCTAACAGCACCAGGAGACGTTTAATTTACTCTTTCACTGTATTATCATTACTAGGAGATTAGAGACGATTTCTCAACGTATTGTTAGCCTTTAAGAGAATACGTTCTTTTATTTCCAAAATTATTTTGTTTTTGAAATTACTGTCTTTGCATTGTCGTAATTGTTGTAAGGGGCGGAGCTGTAGCTCTGTGGTTCGTATCCCGCGGCCAGCAGAGGAATCCTACTCCATTGGGCCCCTGAGCAAGGCCCTTAACCACAACTGCCCCAAGGGCGCCGCGTAAATGGCTGACCCTGCGCTCTGACCCCAAGCTTCTCTCCCTGGATGCGTGTCTCATACAGAGCAGGTTGGGGTATGCGAAAAGATAAATTCCAAATGCAAGCAATTGTATATGGCTAATAAAGTGATCTTATTAGCATTACTGTCATACATCAACAATGCACAGTGTGCAGCTTTGCTGTAATTTAGTTATCTATTAATGTTTCGCATCCCTTTTCAAACAAGACACAATTGGTTATGCCAGTTGTATTTAACTCCCTGAGACATCGTCATTTCAACGCTTTAACAACTCTTTATGTTCTTTTGCCTCCATCTAGCGGGCATTCTACAAACCTGCACTAAAAGCAGAGTAAAATAAAAATCTACTCTTTAATAGACAGATGAGATAGATAAGACTTAATTGATCCCAAGGGGAAATTGATGTGTTACAGCAGTCCAGCCCCAGACAAGCAAAAAAAAAAAACAGACATCGGAATATATGAAAAATTAAAATATGTACAGCAATACAAAATAAATAAATACATAGGTGTGTACAAAATATGCTCATAGTCACTCTTAAAAACAATAAAATATGTGCAAAATGTGCATAGGTATATACAGATTGAGTGTCCAAAACAAAGCACAATGCATTCATGCTTATTTCTTAAACATTTAGTTTTAAAGTACTATAAGCTGCTCATTTAGGTTTTGGTGCAGAGGTTTCCAAGCCACAGAAGGTATTTGCCTCCAGAGGTTATCAGTAATTGCTAACTGTACAGTGTTTTCACTTTCACCTTTAGTTTGCCAATTGCACTTGTAATGCACTTTATAAAGTGATAAAAAAAAGGTCTGGTAAAAGAGAAAAATGAATTGCAGGCACAGGCACAAAAGGATATTAGTAAGGTCAAGAGAGAGATAGGAATATTGTCTTATTATGTCTTTATGATGTAAGCTATATATTCACAATGACAACAGCAAGGAACAGTAAAGGGTGATGTTAAATGTCTCCATGATAGTAAAAGCAAACTTCTATATGATGTAATTTGCATTGAAGCTTTCTTGCTTTATGATGAATCATGAAGTGCAAGAAACGTGTTTGGTTTGTTAACACCGTGCCACTTAATCAGGGGATGTTATGTTAAAATTGTTCTATGTACTTGTAAGAACACATTTAGCATATTGTTTGGAACTTTGGATACCACTTTATAAAAAGATATTGCTGCTCTGTGGTCAGTCCAGACAACAGCAACCAGATACATTCCCAGGTTTAAAACAAAATTTATCTTTGTGAGGCCTGAATAAATGACTCTCTTAATCTTCAACAGAAATTACACCAATGGGGGCTGATTCACAATCAGAGGAGGCACCATTTACACAAAGAGTTGTGGGAGTCTGGAACAAGGCACCCAGTCACACAGTTTAAGATAATACCCTGAAAATGCCCTGGCTTCCTTGACTGGATGTAAGCTTTGTGTCAATTAGCTACTAACAATCAAATAAGGTAGATAGACTGAATGATTCTTCATGTGTATCCTTTGTAATTCAGTTCATTTGTTGGTTTACTATATCTACTAATGCTGGTTCTGCTGCTACAGTCAAGGGAAGTCATCAACCACCCTGGTCCTGGAAAAGTCTCGGTATTTCTCATTTTATGCGTATTTCAAGTCTAAAGCTTGTTTAAAACTTGATTAATTAAGTTAGTAATTGGTCCAATGAAATTATAATAAGTTGCCTGTATATCTCCAGGACCATTGCGGGAGACCCCTGACATAGGTTAATCTCTCTCCAGCGCCTCAAAGAGCGGGCTCAGTTATCTCTGCTGCTGGGATGACGAATCGTGTGTGTGAGGGTTCAGGTGGCAGAGTGTTACATGTTTTGTATTAAACTCCCATAAGGATAATATAAATTAACGGTCTTCACGTCAACAGAATAATACAGCGAACCCGGGGGAGCGCAGAACTCAATCAATAACGCCTCGCCTGTCCCATTGAACTGCGTTCATATTGAACTGTGTTCATTTGTTCATTTGATAAAGTCCCCCCAGACACGCGTAGCGGGATAAGGTGACAGTACCATCTGTTTCGACAAGAAGCTATTCTGCATAAAGAATGATGTGGTTACGAGGACACATTAAATAGATACAAAGTGTTTTCTTAAAAAAAAACAGTAAAATATGCATGAAAAAGATCCCATCTTTTTATCTTCCATATTTTTCTAAGAAGATTCCATCTTCTTATATATTTTCAATACTAATATTACACCACAGTGTTTAAGCGTTGCCGAGCTATTTTGTAGCCTTCCGGAGGGCAAGCTTACAATAACTGCACATGTTATACAATGGCAAATTTACTTGTATTAAGGAAATGTGACTTTGTAACGGGAAAAGAGTCTTTATTCTTTCGGGTAACTTAGATAACCATCGATGTAGTAGCAATAATTTGTTGATAATGGTAATGAATATCAGTATTAGCCCTCGAACTAGGACGGAGACTCGCTTCATTTGTGGATGAAATGGAGGTCTGGACTAGACTCCAGTGAGACGGAACATGTCTGCTTCGCAGAGAGAGCTCTCCGGCACCAAACTGTTGTCTCTCGAGAATTAAGAATATTGTGACGACGTGGACAGGAGAAAGCGCTAGCAGAGGTCTGTCAGACGGGGATACTTTTAACTGCATTTCGTACTTTCTGAGGTATCTAATATTCCATAGTGTCTGAGGGGTTTTAAAATAGCTCTTCCAAATGACAATATCGCATTTTCAATTGTCAGAGCGATCAGCTTCTTGGCTGGTTTAAATAATCGACTTACACCTTTAAAAACGTCCAAGTGATGATTCAGAATAAGCGTAGCGAGTTAGGATAAGTCAGATGTTGTTTTCTATCATGGCAAGGTTACATTTACAAGTAGGTCACAGTTTTCCTTGGTTGTTAAAAACAATGTATTCTAAACTTTCACTTCCCATCACCTGACAACAAGGCGTTGATTGTAAATGCCAAAAAAGGTGTCAGTGAGGCGCTGTAAAAATACGGACTTTATTTTTGCTGTAAGTTTGACTATGATAGTTTGCACATTTTGTAAAATGAGCTTGAGCATATGCTTGACAGGATAATGTGGTGTCAAGCACTTTCCGAAGATTTTCTTGTGTCAGACGTCTCCCTGATTCGAAAGGCGGAATCTTCTCCTGCTTTATATATTTTTAAACTAAAATATGGCTATTAAACTTCCTTTACATGTGTACCACTTGGGAGACACTTCGCTTGTTATATTTTATCTTGTTTTTGAGAGACATCGATCCAAAAAATAAAATGTTTTCCTTAAAGACTCCCTATTTTAAAGTGAAATAGTTCATAAAAGGATGCCTGTTACACAAATGTTCCCTAATTTTAGAATCGATATCTAAAAGTTAAGCGACCCACGTGTCAGGCTCCGTGCCACAGGGACCTGTTACGCCCACACTAGCGGCTCGGGGAGTGATAAATGCAGCCAGTCCCATTCACTACAGTTCGTTAACAGCAGTCTTCCTGGCGATGCAGAGCGAGCATTCTGGCAAGTACTGGAGGAGCTGCGGTTTTGACAAAGGCAGAATTGTGCCGATTTGTTAAAGGGGCACTGCAGTGAATCTGAATCTAGCTCCCCCCCCATCAGATACCCCAAGGATCATCACGTCAGGACTGATTGCACTGGGGGCCTCACTCTTCACTCCCTCTTTAAAGTCTGAGAACGACATTTATTAAACCGATTAGCTAAATGTGACTTAACTCACATTATTGTGCCGCTGGAGACTAAATCGAGTCCAAGACCACACAAGCCTCTCTGCTTTTAATTAAGTCTTGAAAAGCCTGATATTGTAATGACCCTTTCGTTTTATCACTTCCCGTTTTGTTAACTGACTGACATTTATTGTTGTGCTGCATTTTATTATGCATATCTTCACCGAACACAAAGCTGTTGTTTTCTTTAATGGCCCAGCACTGCTAAATGCAGGCTCTTTTCTGCAGATTACAATAACTGCACACATAGATGGAGAGAGTCTAACCCGGGGCCATTCTCTAAAAAGCATGGCTTAATCAAAATCCAATCTTACTCCCTGCTGTGGAGAATCTGTCTAATAATACAGTTGATATAGGACTGAGGTGACTCCAAGGGACTATGGAGGACATCAGCCAGACCCAGAAGCTTCTGCTGTGCTCTTGAAATCTGGGGAACAGGCAAGCAGTCTGTTCTTACAGTATCTTTGAAAAACCAGCCTCAATAAGAGATGAGCTGTTTCACCAAGGCTGTTCTCCCCAGCATCCTTCTTTGGGCCCGTTTCCATGGAAACAAGGGGATGGCTGAATCTGTAAGAAGAGAAACAGGCTTCCTGAGGTAGGAGGGTTCACACGTGTCAGAGCTGACATCTGATGCGCTGTCTGCCTGTCTAACGTCTCTGCTTGTGCTCTTGTCTGCATTGTTTGGTCCCATTGTCACTCTGCTGCTTACAAATACCAGCTTGCTTATGTACTGCAAGGTGTCATTGTTCCCCTTTTTAACAATCAATACATATACAGGCGTGTCCAGTATTACTGCAGCTCATGGCATGCTCAGCTCTTAACTGATTACTGTAAACTCTAACGGACTAATTGAGGGGAAGGGGTGTCATTTATTGCTGAATGTCTGTTAAATCAGGCAAAAAAGGCCCAGAGAAAAAAAATTATATATGCTTTCTGGATCTTTTGCTTTATATATTTAACAACTGCAATCAAGACAGTTGGTGAAAACTGGTCCTGTGCCTTATTTTATCAGACATACACAAGCTCTTTATTTCATGTATCATACATACTGTATACTGTGAAAAAAGTGTTAAAGCATACAAAGTACAAACAACACCCATCGTAAGCAACTGACCTCCCCCTTTTAAGGCACCATTGGTATTCTGGAACTCCTATGTAGTATTTATTTTTACCCTGTTTTGTTATTTGTGCCTCTCCCCATTATGTCAGGTATTTCTGATTTTACAGACAAAATTCTCCCTTAGCAGATTTTGTTTGTTAAATCCAAACTCCGTAGAGGGAGCGTTTACTGCAATGACTTAATTAAAGTAGCTTTTTCCAGTCCTGAATGGACCTGCTGATAGAGACCTAAAGCATTAAAATAAAACCAGAACAAACAAAAAAAGCTTAGACTAATGCTTTCTTTCATGGTTTGGAAATGGTTTCTCTAGCATTTGCTGTCACAAGAAATGAAATGAAGATAAATAACATTCATCATGAGCTTTTTAAAAGTTAATGACTATCCTGGCATGACCATAAGATTGTATGCAGTTTGATTCAGAAGCCAAATGCGGTATCAGTGTTTTGTGTATTAGAATTGTCATTGATTACAGACAGCAGTGATAAGACTGGCTTTTCTCATTTTCGATTTGCACAGGCTGGGCCTGTGTTTGCCTGCTCTGGTGGTCTCTGATTCTCTGAGCCCAAGGAGGTGTCCCAGTAAAAGGCCTGTGTTACTCAGCGGGATGTTGTTAAAAGCCACCTGACTGGACTGAAATGCCTTCCGGTATGCCACCCCCTCACCCTCAAGGAGTTCCAGCCTGTGATGCTGCACAGACGTGACCAATAAAAATGCCAGAGGGGCACAGGCATCCCCCTTCATGCCTGCATGCCCTTTTGGGCTCGTGCCTTGTTATATTGAAATCTAGGCCCTATAAAATCCAGGAACATATGTAACAACTGAAACTTAGTGTAGTGACATTCACACTAGGGAATTAGTAACCAGATGAAATCATAGTATTATATCTGAAGCTGTCATAAAGGATTTAACATACATCCTATTAATGATCAATCTACTACACATTTAGGTTTAATACAATGTGAATAAGGCTTCTATAGGTACACAGTGATGTTAATACCAACCCATTCACATTCTACAGAACCTCAGTTGGTGCTAAACTGATTATGAGAATTTGTTCAACCTTCATTTATACAACTTCATCTAAAGGATGACTAAAACAGCTTGTTTTTGCACTGTTTGTGTTTAAGACCGAGGAATTTAAAACGATCATGTTGGATTGGAGCAATATTTTTATGCTCAAAATCTGATCCCAGTTTGCACTTTGGGGGCAACACAGATCTCTTCCAGACTGACTCCACACCGGCTGTGAGAGGTTTGTGGTCACACAGACAGCAGTGAAGGAGAGGTTAGAATGTGTGTGTGTGTGTGTGTGTGTGTGTGTGTGTGTGTGTGTGTGTGTGTGTGTGTGGAAGAGGGCGCTCAGTATCATCTGTGTGGTTTCTCCCAACCCGCCCCAAGGCCCCAGACTGAGGAGTCTGACCTAGATGAAGTCAGGACCAGCTGACTCTGAGGCTCTCAGATCTCACTCCGTCTCTGTTCAGTGGAGAGAGGGTTGAACAAAACAGCCCCCCACTCATCCCCCCCTTCCTCCTCCAACATGTGACACACACAGCGGTCACACAGCTCTCCTGGCAGTACGAGAGTGCCTTTGTCTGCCCCATGCATAAATCAGGGGAGACTCTCAGGAGTGTCCATCCAGCAGAGAGGAAGGAGGAGAAGAGTTTATTTACCACCTAATAAACCTAGGAAGATTAAGAGAGGCTTTGGAAAAGCCTGTTGGTAAGGGAGCCCCAGTCAAGAGAGACACATGAAAAAGCAGTGGCCGAGCTTCCACCTATTCATCAATTTTTGAAATCACCTATCAAGTACAGGGTTCTGGGGGGAGCCAGAGTGTATCCCAGCATGCATCGTGTGCAAGGCAGGGTACAGCCTGGATGGGACACCAGTCCACCGCAGGGCAGACTCACACAGATATACAAACTCACACCAGGGCCAGTTTTCCAGAAGCCAATTGACCTACCAGTGCACAGTATATCATCAACCTCTGGGAGGGAACTGGAGCACCAGGAGGCAAGCCATGCAAAGCCAGGGAGAACATACAGACTCCACACAGACAGCACCCCAGGAAGTGAAGCCAGGATCCTAGCACTGGACAGCTGCAATGCCAATCAGGCACGCCTTTTCAAATTTGTTTCTGAAGACGAACAAGGAAAAAAAAACAGCAACTGAAGCAAGATGTTCCAAAAACACTTTATAACCACCCCCTCCCCTTCACCACCTCCCACCCCAGCAGCAGTGAGTCACCTCTTCGCTGCTGATACACCTAATTGAAGGCAACACTACTTTTTGACATTACATCTCAGAGCAAAAACATCTCGTTCATCTTAGGATTTCAGTGGAAAACTGATTGGTAAGAGTATTTTTATTTTCGACATAAGAACAGTAACAATGGAGAGGAGGCCTTTCAGCCCATCTAGCCTAGTTGGTAATTAGTAGATGATTAATCCAAAGATCTCATCCAGCTGCATCTTGAAAGAAGCCAGGGTGTCAGCTTCAACCACATGAATGGGTAGCTTCTTCCCCACTCCCCCAGCTCTTCAGAGCTCATCTGTACAATACATAAGGTGACCATATGACTCTGCGCTTACCAGGATACATTGAGACAGGATGGGATTTTTAAAACTGGAATTACATTAACTTTTAAGAAGCTTCAAGGTTTACACCTTTACTAAAATGAGTAATGTACCCTAATTAACCCTCAGAGAATTAAAGGTTAATGGAAAAACGTGGTATACTTATATTGCGAACGTTTATGTGTAACACTTGTTTTCTTGCTGCTTTTCTGACAGTTACTAATTTGGTTACAAATAGTGTTTACTATTTACAACTTTTAAGCCAATTTAATATTTACAAATATCAAGCTTAAACGACGATGACTTTCCCTAACCAATCAGTATAATTGAACACTTGTGTGCTCAGTCTGTTCGATGGCAGTCACTTGACCAACTTTCAGTGTAATCAGATTCCAGAGACTTTTTTAAATTAACAAGAAGCTGGGAAATGGCCTTTCAGAGGTTATGCCTTATATTTGTATGATAACTGCGCAGACACTACCCCACTCACTGCAACCTGATGTATTACAATTTTCTGAACAATTATTTCGTTGATTTTTTCAGAAACCGTCTTGAGCAAAATCAGAAGACACAGTAGTGCTCCAAGTAAAGTATGAGAAATATTGTTGTAAGCGAGCAGTTTACTGCAGTATAGAGCCGTGTGTACTGAAACATGTCATTTGTCAGTAACACAATCACACAGCGTTAGGATCAGGATTTTCACGTATCTGGAGTTATGCAACATTGCAGATTTACGCAGCAGGAGCTGCTTACTTATTATAGTTCAATACTTCAGAGAGGATTGAGGCTTATCCGTTTTACAGCAGAATATTAATCTGTCCAGGAATCTAGTGCGTGCATGAGAATGCGCGCCTCTGAGCTTCTCACAGGACATTGCAAAAATAACACTTTCAGCCTTTGCTGATGATACAAGAGAATTTAGGACATTTGAAGATGTTTTTCAGAGATAAGAGGGAGTGGCACTACCACAATAATGCTGTTTCATTATCTTACACTAAGACACTGAGTTTGCAGAAAGATGTTGGATTTCGACAGGAAGACTTAGGACTCTTTGGAATCCCAACTAAAGCGAACCAGCCTTACAACCACTGTACATAAAAACAGCCAAACATTACAACTTCGGAACTGTAGGCTTCATTTACCGCAGCGAAAAGCTGTTTTTCGTTGGCCTTCGACCCCGCGGGTGTTAAAACCCTGCCCTCCCGACCTTTTGTGGAGACCCTGGGAAACATCCCCCCCTTTATGACCGTTTAATGCGTCTCAGATGCTGTCGCTCATTAAAACTCGGTAGCTCCTGAATTGACATGGGGGGTGTCCATCCTGACCCCGACTCTTCTCCTCTCAGCACCTTCATGAACGGTGGGACCGTCAAAGGCCACGATTGGTTTGGGGTTTTGTCAAGGGGCGGGATCCTCAGGTTTGTATGGCTAAAGTGGCTGTCAATCGAGTGCAACACCGCCCCTTTATGCTTAGCAGCGTAGCAGTAATACTCGATGCCTGTGAGCGAGAGAGGTAGAATGAATGCTTTTGTGGCCGCTAGCTGATAAGTGCTGATGCATTTTAACAGGATGTAGCTGCGTGAGAGAGAAAAAAGACAGTCTCGTAACACAGCTACCAACAACATGACAGTTTCCACAGCTAGGGCCAAAAGGAAGACTTTTTTTTGCAGGCTGTATTATGGCTGTAATGATGCCCGCTTTTAACGCGACCGGTATTTGCTAATCTGCGCTGTTTTAAAAGCATCTCTAGAGTATTTTTTAAAATAAAACATACAGTGGCAGCCACTGTAATTAACAACATTAATCACAGAGATTAATTCTTGAAAGACGCAGGAATGGCGACTCAAAACGACTGCTGTGTGAAGGTCTCTTTAAGGTAAGACAGACGTGTGTTTCTGAATGGACGTTGTAAAATGACCCAGTGTGCTATAAAAACCTGTACAGCGCGGAATCGACCTTTGCAGTGGCATAATGCGGCTGTCGCCAATAATTGTGCCCTGGGTAATATCGTACAATAGTTTTATTTTAATACATTTCTAATATTAGCACTGGGTGGTACGAAGGCGCACTCTTTCCGCCTTTTCTCGCAATTTGACAGCTGCAAACACGCCGTGAGTCGGTTTATTCACAGCGATATAATATTGTATAGTAATCTAACGCAGTTTAACTCTTAATAGTCCCACTCCTTACTCTCATTGTTCTCAGCGGCACGATTTTTTTTGTGTTTAAACTTGCATCTTCATAGCTGCAGCACAGGTGCGGTAGGCGCCGATAGCTGCTCACAAATTTCTTTCTCCACCTTTCTATAACATCTCCTTACATTTTCTCCCTCCCGTTGGCAAAAAGAGAGAAGGAGTGTCATGCACGGATTGCTACACGGACACTTCTTTCTCTAGGGTGTAATCTCACTTCAGTATTTTTGCGTGTTCTCCATTTTAGTTCTTAAAAAAGATTGTTACAAAATATCAGGCGTTGCAGCATTTACCGTACGTGTCACACAAAGAGAGCTGCGTTTACGGCAAAGCACAGAAATTGAATATTTATCCCTTATTTAAAACAGGTGCAGGAATAGTCAATAATAGTAGGCTGCTGTTGAATAGCAGGGGATATGTATTGTTGATGATAAATACAGGAACCGAACACAACGCTTTACGTTGTAAAGCGTATAGACCAATGTACAGTAGGGTATCATGAAAATTTGTTATTGTCTTTCTGATTGGCATGTAGGAGTTATCAATAATGGCGGTTGTTCTGGTATTACTGTTTATTTTGTAATTGTAAGACAGTAATGGGAAAGCGACGTTTTGTCTTTATCCCAGCGTGAGTCGGTATGTTGCGAATTGTTTTAAGGTGTCAGCAGTCAAATTGGGGTGGAGAATTAAACCCCTTTTTTAAAATTCGATAGGATAATTTAGCTGCTCTAGCCGCGTCTCCAGTTAGACTGTGATCTCGTAATTGCCTCGGTGCCTTCAGGTTAGACCCCTGTACTCTGCAGTGGAATATTAACTCTGAGACTGTGAACATTACTGAGTCCCGCCTTTGTCTGGAGTTGCAGTGCTAAAAATGGAGTGCACTATGCATTAACACGTATAAATGTATAAAAATCGATTGGTAACTGTTGCCAAGTAACAGCCACTTTATATTGGTTTCTTTTTTAAAGCTCACCAAATTTAGATGTTCCTGAACTTGACGTTAGTGAATTGTAAGGTGAATTGGAGAAGGTTGTAGGCGTATTAAAATACGCTAAATAAATCTCTTGGTTCCTAAAACCATACAGTGCCGATAGATACTGTGCAGTAGGAAAGGTTGTCCTTTGAATGAGGTTTGCAAACCGAGGTCATTAAAGATCACGTCTTTTCGAAAGAGTAATGGTGTTAACCTCAGTGTTAAATTCTAGTGTAGGCTTGCACAGTCTGGCCTCCCTAAAGTTCTTCCTTGATTAAAATGGTGAGGTAATTTCTTCACCTGACTGCTTGTGCTCCTGATCTGCAGTGTAGCGGGGCTGATGGCGCAGAATGGCAGGCAGGCGTCACCCAGGTGGGACAGTCTTCAAGTGGATCCA